TACCATAGCTGCACCCTTGAATGAAGTGATTAAAAGGCATGTTGGTTTCAAATGGGGTGAAAAACAAGAGCAAGCCTTTGCTGCTCTCAAGGAAAAATTGACACATGCACCTATTCTTGTATTGCCTAATTTTTCTAAATCTTTTGAGATTGAATGTGATGCATCTAATGTGGCGATAGGGGCTGTTTTGATGCAAGAGGGGCATCCCATTGCCTATTTTAGTGAAAAACTGAATGGGGCTGCTCTTAATTATTCCACATATGATAAGGAATTGTATGCATTGGTAAGGGCATTGCAAACATGGCAACACTATCTCTTGCCCAAAGAGTTTGTCATCAACAGTGACCATGAGTCCTTAAAGTACTTAAAAGGACAAGGCAAGCTTAACAAAAGGCATGCCAAATGGGTAGAGTTCTTGGAGCAGTTTCTCTATGTGATCAAGCACAAGAAAGGTAAGTCTAATGTAGTTGCGGATGCACTTTCAATGAGGTATGCCTTGTTCTCTACTCTTGAAACTAAGTTCATTGGTTTTGATCATATTAAGGCATTGTATGAGCATGATCCAGACTTTGCACAAATCTATAAAACTTGTGTGGATGCTGCTCAAAATGGATTTTTTAGGCATAATGATTACTTGTTTAAAGAAAAGAGATTGTGTGTTCCTAAAGGTTCCATTAGGGAATTACTTGTGAAAGAGGCACATGCGGGGGGATTAATGGGACATTTTGGAATCCAAAAGACTCTAGACATGCTGCATGAACATTTTTATTGGCCACACATGAAGCGTGATGTACATAAATTGTGTGAAAGATGCATTGTATGTAAGCAGTCTAAGTCTAAATTATTGCCTCATGGGTTGTATACTCCTTTACCTATTCCAGATTGCCCTTGGATTGATATTTCTATGGATTTTGTGTTAGGACTACCTCGGTCTAAAAATGGTAAAGATTCTGTTTGTGTTGTGGTGGACAGGTTTTCTAAGATGGCACATTTCATTCCGTGAAAAAAGGTTGATGATGCAATCCATATTGCTGATTTGTTCTTCAAGGAAGTGGTAAGACTCCATGGGCTTCCAAGAAGCATTGTCTCTGATCGTGATACTAAATTCTTAAGCCATTTTTGGAGGACATTATGGAGTAAGTTGGGGACTAAACTTCTCTTTTCTACTACTTGTCATCCACAAACTAATGGCCAAACTGAGGTAGTGAATAGAACTCTTTCTTCTCTTTTGAGGGCTGTAATTAAAAAGAACACAAGTCATGGGAACAATGTTTGCCCCACGTTGAGTTTGCATATAACCGGGCAGTTCATAGAGCTACTCATTATTCTCTTTTTGAAATTGTTTATGGCTTTAACCCTCTCACTCCTCTTGATTTGCTACCTTTGCCTAACAACTCTATTTTTCAGCATAAAGATGGTAAGAGTAAGGCTGAATATGTGCGAAAACTACATGAAAGGGTAAAAGCAAACATTGAGAAAAGGGTAGAGAGCTATGCTAAGCAGGCAAATAAAGGAAGGAAGAAGGAGACGAGGATTACAATTTGAGGACAAATTCTTCTAAAGAAGGAGGGAATGATGAGGACATAGGAGGTGGCATGACCAAGACAACAAACTTGGAGGACATACAAGGTCTTGGAGGCCCAATGACAAGAGCAAAAGCTAAAAAGGCTAAAGAGGCTCTAAATCTCTTGGTGACCACTTTTCTTGAGACAAGCCCAAGTCTAAAGGAAGAAGAGCCCAAAATGATACACTTAATTCAAATTGAAGACCTTGAAGAATAAGCCTCAATGGATATGCATGAAGGCTTTATTTTACTTGGCCCAAATTCTGCACTTAATTTTATTTTCTTATATTTAGTTAAACTTTTTGTAATAAGGCTTATTGGGCTGGATTATTGGGCTGTCTATTTTCTTTTATGTGTAAGCACTTTTAGGTTAAACTCAATATGGTTGTTGCCCACTATATAAGGGAACACCATGGCTTTTGAAGACAGATTTGGAATATCAAGTTAACCTATTTTGGTGAGACTAGTTCTCTTGGGTTCTTTTGAGAATCTCTGAACTTATCAAGGGCATCAATCCTTGTGGCGTTCTTGGGCTTATCAATTCTTTGGAATTGTGGCGCCTACCTATAATCCTTAAACTCCAATTTCATCCTATACTATCTTGGATTCATATCTCCCGAATTCCTTATCCTTTTCCGGTGTTTCTTGTGCCAAAATCGTGATTCAGGAAGCCATCTTTCACCTCGTTTTGGAATCACCCAAATCCGAGGTCCGTAGCGTGAGATACGTTCTGTTTTTAACAGTACGTGTTGGCGGCTGAATTTGGAGTTATAATTTTCCATTCCTAGTAGATCCATTCCTCCAATCCTATTGGGGGATCATATAGGCATCCCTTCGGTACCAGGGTATGGGACACTTGGCTTCAGTCCACATAGGCCGCAGTTGGAATCCTTCTTGTTAGGAGCCAAATTGGAATATCCACTGTGCTTGTTATGTACGTGCACTATGGTGCTATGAACGTACTCTAGGTGTTATATGCGCAACCTCTAGGCGTTATATACGCAATGATATTATTATTCTTGGACGGATTTAACTTGATGATGCGACTGTTTTGTAATTTTGTATTTAGTTAGTACTGTTGCACTACTGGTTTTGTTGCCACACTACTGGAATTTTTCTCACCCCTTTGGGGCTGCTATTTTTACAAAATGGCAGGAGGACGGAAGAGCATATGAAGTCATGATTATATGGATATCTACTGTTATGTGCTGCTGTTTGGATTTTTGTTGTTGCTGTTTATTTGATGGATAACTGTATTAATTTGAGAAGTTTGGATTACCGTTGGATTATGATTTTACTACTGTTTTAAGACTTTATGATCAGCAAATATTTTGGAGATAAATTCTAGAAACGTTTTGCGAAAATAATTTCTGACGTTTTATTTAAGTGCGGATTTGTAAACCGTTTGGCGAGCACTTTGCGAGTTATGTTACGAGGGGAAAACGAGCTCCGATTTACTATTGTTTTATATGCACGCGAAGCCCCAGACGTGCTCTTTCTATATTATATGGAATATTTTTTTGAACCGTCGAAACTGATTTTATACGAATTTTTAAAGACAGCAACGTCTACCAGGAAATTACTATTTTCAGCAAGTTAAGAAATTTTGAAAGCATACTCTGATTTTTGTAAGGAATCCGATTTCAATTACAAGTTTTAATTAGCAACATCAAAATGATTTTTCAGTACTTAATTATGACAAAAGAACTCTAATTCCGCTTAGCAAACAACTCTCTTGGAGGCCTACGAGGGAGGGTGTTACACTTACGTTTCATTTACGTTTTGCGATTTTACGTTTTTGCTCACCCCTACCGTTTTTACATAGACTCTACGTTTTAACAACATTGCCACTAGGTTAATTTGGGATTCGTTGACACATTATTTCACCAAACCACACACCCTAAGCACCTTGATTAGCGCTAAGGACTGCCCCCAAAAATATAATAGATCACAGCGGAATGTCCAAGCCAAATGTGATGTTGTTGCCATCTCCAATCAAACGCATAAATCAAGGTTTGGCTCGAAAGACAAAATTTCTGAATTAAATCAGAAATTGAGGAATGTGAAGATCTTGGTGAGTCATGGAGCAAGGAGAATGAAGAAAAGGTGCAAAAGAGGAAGGAAGACAAGATTTCCAAGGCTGAAAAAGAGCAAACAGAATTGAGGGGATCCGCTCGATGGGAAGCTCGAGAGCAGTGGGATCCCGGTGGAAATTACCATATTTTTTGCATATGTGGGGTCCTACAATTCAAACAGTGGGATCCAGGAGAAGGGTTTTTATAGGTTGTACGTGTTCTTACAATTCAAACATCGGCATTACCTGTTCTTCACAATGAAATTTGCAATTGGAGAAATGGATGTGGAAGCTCAGTTATACAACGAAGCATTTGCAATTTTCAAGAAGTTCCTTAATGTTGAAGTTGCACTAGTATTGATGGATGGTATTCACAGCATAGATAGAGCTACTGAGTTTGTTGTTAGAGTTGAAGTGGAAGCAGATTCTTATAGAAATTGTACCCTCTTTGTCTTGGAAAAAAAAAATAGTTGATGAATTCAAGTGCATAAGAATCACTGGTCCTTTGGAGGAGCATATGGAAGCACGGTTGAAAAAAAAGATATATCGGCCAAGATTCGACAAGTTAGGGGGAAAATGCTATTACACCATGTAGAGTATGATCCTTCAACAGATCAGTCGAGTGTGGTCGGGTGTTGTAAAAACATTTGGGCAGATGATGTGAAAACACCCATCAAAATTTTTTCTGCTTTGCAAATTGAGGAAGCTAGTGTGGAAGGCCAATGGGACACCCCAGAGGAAAGGTTGTCATTGTTTGCTCTTAACTTGAGGAGAAGGTGAGTTTATTGGGGGGAGAGTATTGATGTGATTGAGCCTAGAAATATATAGAAAAGGGTATATGAGAGGAGAAGCAGAGGATTACAGCCCCACCTACAATTCCTAAGTCAGCATCAATTGGTTAGAGAGAAATCAAGTGGTTAGAGTCACGCGGATGGCATCATAGGAGGTTGGTTACTAATAGCAAGTGGAGGATCATTTTGGAAATCATCTTTGGACTTGGGACTTTTGGGCACTTCTTAGGTGATTTGGGAGAGACTAGAGCCTCTCCAATTGCTCTAGAACTATCATTATTATTTTCTCTTTTTTATTACTGTTAATTGTCTCTTCCATTATTGTCACTGTAATTTCCCATAGCAATATATTGTCTTTGTTATTGTAACTGTCTTACTGAACATTGTACTGGTTGGTCCACATCAATATACTGTTCTTGAGTTGTTTCTGTATTGGAATTGTTGGTCTGTATCAGCACCATAGCTATTTTGCTTTCAAAGCAATGTTTTCAAACACCCCAAGACCTAATCCTCCTTCTTCCTTAGGTCTACGGAAAAGCATCCCCAAACTCCAAACATATTTATATACAAATCAAGCATGTTTAACACATAAATCTAAGCATATGCAAACAATTACTGTACCTGTGTTGTATTCATGAGGTTGCAACTGCTTGCTCCGGGCCTTCTCAACCAACTCCTTCCACTTTCTTGACAATGAATAGATATCAACCTATAGGACCTCCTTACAGTTAAGTGCCATCTTATAATAGAAGGGGAGCAAAATAAAAACTGCTCAAAATAGTTTAGCAAAAACCTTATCAGCATCCTGAAGCACCGGTGTAAGTAGTCCACCATCCATAGCCACAGCAACTGCAATGTTTATGTTACTATTATATGTAAAGCTCTTACCATCTCTACAACTAGAATTTATAACTGGGTGTTTAACCAGTGCAAGTGCTGTAGCCTTGGCAAGCAATGCCGTCATAGTAACTCCCTTCGACTTGATCTGATATTTAAGAAATTGAATCAATAACTAGACTTCAGCCAACAATTCAGGCACGAGCAGTGCTCTTGGAATAATTTTAAACTGGCAATATCAAACTATCTTATACTGACTGAAGCATTGTTTAATACAGCTTCATGATGAACATATTATCAAATAAGGATACTAGTTTGTCTTTTATCTAGCTCAGAAATTCAAAATACACGGGATTGCTTTTTTGTATTCGGCGCAAGATTCTGAACCTTTGCACTTGGCTCTTTCAATGACTAAACTGCTTACTCCTCAGAAGAAAAAGAAATGACCAAAACTATTAGTAGTCCATAGAAACTCATCTTAACTAAACAAAAATGATAATGAATTTCTTAACATCTTCCAATTAAATAGAGAAAGAAATGTACAGGCAACTACTACATGGTGCAGCAAGAAATAGTAGGACGAGTGATCCGATCGTTCCCCCTTATTCTTAAATCAGAGAACGTTCTATTCGGGAAAAACAAAACAAAAACACAAAATAATAATAATAATAATACAATTAACAACGTACCAAGAACTAACATGACATTCAATATAGCATAAAGCACAATCATAACTGGTTATTTAATACTATAAAAACATGTCCATGACCTGAGAATCAACCATCTATAAACACCATGCGACTTCCCTAAGCAGAGCATTAAGCATGTAATTGCAACATAGCAGAACACAGACAAAAGAAGCAAATCTTATTTATTTGACTTAGTAGACTACTACGAAATGAAAACCAACCAAAACAACCATGTTCCTTTATTCCCATTCCAATAAACAATTTTACCTTCTTGTACAGAGCATCAAGTGCATCAGTGGTGATGGTGTATCCAACTCTGAAAGTGGGCACTGCCAAACTCTCCACCATGTTTCTACTCACAGCACCCTGCATTGTACTAAAAGGAACCACACTCCCCAATTCAACCACCACACTCTTCCCTTGCACTGTTACGGCAGCAGCATCATTAACACCTTTTCCAGAACTCACATCAGCAGCAGCAGCTTCAACATCCTTGGCCACAACCCTCCCAATTGGTCCACTCCCCACAATGCTCCCCAACTCCACCTTCAACTCCTTTGCCAGCTTCTTAGCATAAGGCGATGCCACAATCCTCTTCCCTCCCTCCGAAGCCGGGTGTCTTGAACCCGCAATAATCGTCGCCGGAGTCGGAGCCTTCCGCAGGCCCACATCACCTGCAACAGGCTCCAGTTCCGGCTCAGTTGCCGATGCGGCTGCTGCAGGAGGTGAGGAAGACGGAGAAGACTGGGCTTTGGACCGGGCCTGGGCGATATCATCCTCCGTCTCCGCGAGGAGGGCGATGGGGGAGCCGACGGCGGCGACACCGCCTTCGTCGACCATGATGGCGGCAAGGTAACCGTCGTAGAAGGTCTCAACGTCCATGTCGGCCTTGTCAGACTCGACGACGACGACACTGTCGCCTTTGGCGAGCTTGTCGCCCTCGGACTTGATCCAAGAGACGATCTTACCCTCCGTCATGGTGGAGCTCAGCGCCGGCATGAATATCTCCCGGATCTTCGAATGAATTCGACAACAGTTGACTGAGATTTCGAAGGATGGCGGCGGAGTGGGTTTCCGGTGAAGAGGAGTGGAGGAAGGAATAAAGCAAGTGTGGAGAAGGTGAGCCATTGAGAAATGTAGAAGAATGAGAGAGAGAGAGAGAGAAGTGCGAAATTTCCGAAGAGATTAAGATGGAGGAAGGAAGCAGAGTGATGATTAAAAGGTTTGCATTATTATTATTGTTTTTTGGTATTCTCGGACTCATCGAAAGATGGCGGAGGTTCCAACCACCGTACCGGTGAACTTAAAGTTGCCTTGGTTTGATATTGATTTGGTTTCGAGGCATTCTTCCGCCGGGAGGATTTCTTTAATGGTTAAATATTATTTTATAAAGTGAAAAATGTTCATCTTTTTTAAAATATGATCCTTTCCTTTTAGTTAAAATATTATCTTTTATTTAAAATTTAAATTTAAAAAAAAAATCTCAATTTCTTCTACCATAGTTTTTATTGTTTATTTTTTCTTTCACTTAAAATAACACAATTTTATGGCTTTTAAAATGATAAATATTAATTTCTTTATAAAAATATTAAATTTTATTTTTTGTCTCTTTAATATTTAGGTTTTAATATTTTTTTTTTAATTGATCATCGTTCTGCTCAAACGGAATACTAACTATGTTGGTCATATGTCTCAAATCATCTAAGAGGATAAGAAAATTGGTTCCGATCGATTTAGAATTTGAGTTTTAATTTGTGTTTATTATTTTTTAGAAAGTTTTTTTATCATTTTAATGAATATAATTTTATATTATTTTAATTTAAACAATTTTAATATATATTTATTGATTTTTTATATTCACTCTTCCTTCTTTGTGATATTTTCTATTTATCTCTTCTCTTAATTTTACAAAAAATTGTAACAAACTTCCTTTTTATTAAAGTGAAATTTTATCTCTTTTTTTTACGTCCCTACTCTCCAATATCTTCTTTCCTTCTTCTATATTGTGGCAATAGTTCTTCTCTCCTCTCTTGTGCAAAAGATCACAAGTTCATTCGTAAACATGAAGTAGAATTAAAGTTCACAATGGACCAGTGTTCCAAAAAAAAAAAGAGTTCGCAATGGACCATGTTGATGTCAAAATCTAGCTCTAGGAATTCGCTAAGAATCTTGAATTACCTCTTATGAAGGATTGAAATGGATGATTTAGGTAAATATATTTATTTATATTATGATTTGTGGAGTAAGGAAGAAAATTGAGTCAAACTGCCAACTTATTTTAGGATGATTAGTGAAATGATATTTTGCCTACTTCGGTAAGGGATTTGTCAAATAGGTAATGGATGTATGTAACTACAATTTTCTGTTTATTTCTAAACTAATTTCAAGCCTAAGCTCATGTATTTTGAAAGATTGTTGCAAATAACTTGAACTCGTGCAGTATTAGCACAGCCTTAGAACGACGCAATTTTTAAACTGATCTGTTTAACATGATCTCGGTTTTTTTTCTTTTTCTTTTGTGTATAGGGATGATGAACGTGTAATAAGTTAGTTTTATATCATTGATGGGGTATAAAATGTATGTGATAAGGATTTATTTTTTATGGTGTCTATGCAGAGATCATTTTCTATACATCTGTCCATAAGTGCATCTAAGATTCAAAAAGTGATATTTGGACTAAAAAAATATTTTATTCTCTCCTCCGTACTAACATCACACTTAATATTCTATTTTTATTGGTTCGTCACATCAAGTGTAGTGTGGGATAGTTGTACCATAAATATTTTCGTCTATGTATCACTATAGAGCTGCACTAAAAAGATCTTTACCCTAAAAGAGGAAATTAGTGCCCATCTCTTTATGATTGTAAATAAGATTGAATATTTGTAACACCTTTATAACAATATTCACCGTTAGAATAGGTGACAGTAAATTGATTATGTGTTTAATTAAATTAAACATATGTTTAAGGAAACAGTGTAACATCCCGCATAAATTAAGAAGTGTAATTAAAATGCAACTATAGGTGAAGGCATGTTATGAATTCGAAATCCAGGTATAAGTAGGATAAGATTAATTTATAATTACTCTACATAAGAATCTTAGTTACTACTTAGTGGGTGCTTGGAAATAATGTTCCTTAGGAAATGAATTGGGACCCATTTATCCTCTATGGGCTACGACCCAAGTGCCTTATGTAAAGGCCTAAGTCAGCCCAAAACCCATTCTAACCATAACCCTTAGTTACCCCATTAATCTATCCAAATGGAAATCTGAATGCAGCTCCCTATTGGTCAAAAAGCCACACCTTTACTTCTCCCATCCCCCATCTTTGTGCGCATGGTAGAGAACAAAATAAGCTGAATGTTAGTCAATTGTCGAGGAACCACTCAGCTCCAATTCTAAATCTCTCATTCCCCTCTTCAAGCCGAAAATTTCCAAGGAAGAAGAAATCTGATTATGCATGTCTTTTGAGTTAGAATTAGGATCAGCCCCATCCTTCATTCACTACCTTCTACAAGTCGCATATCCCTAAGAAGATAACCCAAACACCAAGCATACATTTTCTTCTTCTCCTCTCCCTTGTTCGGTCGAACCTCAACACCCAAGGAGGTATTGCATCTTCTCTGCTTCCTTGTTCATTCTTACTCCATTCGGTTTGATGGAGTTTTCTCTGCATGCAGATTGAAACCTAAACGCTCCTCATTATTCTTCTCCTTCTCTTGTGCGCGGCCAAACTCAAGTCAAGGAGGTAATGTGCCTTCATGATCTTCTTGTTCCTCACTGCATGATTCGATTTAAAGGAGTTTTCCCCATTGCATGCAGATTTAAAAACTTGAACTCTTGCATAGAAGAAGGGTGAAGGGCTGCTCCTTGTCCGATTTGTGGTCTTTTGTGTGCATGCAAGAAGGTACCAACGAAAACCAGTTTCCCTTACTCCACTTTGTTTCGGCCTGCATGCGTTAAATATGATGAAGACAGCATGCTAAAAATCTATTTGTTCATGCCTAAGTGATGTAGGTAGTGTTTTGTTAAAGGAAAAATGGAAGCCCCTAGGTGATGGCCTAGAAACCGAATCTGTATGCATATGAAACATTGGATTTTGTCAATTATTAACGATTAGTAAAACTGAACCTAAGGCAGAAAATTAATTAGCATTGGAAGCATGATAATTCGATTAAGATCCTAGGATTGGAAATAGGGAAATTACATGTGAATTATAGGAAAAATAGATGAGAATTCTGATTTGGTGTTTTGTAATTAGGTGCGCAAGTCTCTAAAGAAAAGGGGACTGATTTTGATGTTATGGTGGTTAAAAATCTAAAGCACCAATGTAAGTGTTCGATGGATTACCCTTTGTGACTGTTAAATTAGCTCATGGATTTGTGATTTGTTGCTCATGTGTCTTAATCAGTTTCTATTTGAAATTAATGGTTATCTGACTTGGAATGGACTTGTTGGAAATTCGGTTTTTGGAGATACATCATGCTTCGAATTTCTAGTGTCATGGTCATGTGAACTATGCTTTTCTGATTCTGAATTCTGGTCATGCTCATGAACATCATAAATTTGCATTTTTGTCATGTGTGTGCGAAGCAAAACATACCATCTCATACATAATTATACATGCAGTTTGGAAACCGAAATATTTGAGGAAATGAAGCATATGTTTGAGCATGCATCATATAGGCATCCCTCGGGTACCAGGGAGAAGGAACTGTGGCTCAGTTCGCATAGGCCTCAATTGGAATTCCCCTCTGTTAGGGCCAAATGGAATCTCCATTGAGTTTAGTTAGTTAGTATGTGCACGTTAGTGCTATGAACATACAATATTCTAGCGTTATATACGCATTATGTTGCATTTTGGCATCTGTTCGGGGACTATTTGATGACGTGACAATTTTGGAAATTCTGTAGCTAAGTTAACATTGTTGCATGCTGGATTTTCTGCCACACTACTGGAATTTTTCTCACCCCTTCTGGGGCTCAATTTTTATAAAATTGCAGGAGGACGAAGAAGTATTTGATGAAGTATTTGTCTTGGAAACAAATTTCTGTTTAAGTTCACTGTTGTTTGGTCATGCTACGTGTGTTCGCTGTTTGTTGATTGGTTAAGTGTGGAACGTCGAACATGATGTAATATTTTTGGAGTTTGGCACGTTTATAATTTGGGTTCTGTTTTGTTGGGAAACATGGTCGTAGCATGAACCTTACGATATGTTTTGTTGTGTGGAACTTACGTAATACCGTACTTTATTCCTAAATTATCGAATTTTAGAACCTAAACAAATTATGTTTTCTAAATGTAAAATGACGATTAATTCATAGCCATAATTCGATTCTGCATAACTGGATTTTATTAGGAGTGTAATGTAACAGCCCGATGTACACCGGTATTGTTAACATTAATATGATATTAAGCGCAGTTACAATCACAGCAATTCATTTATAAAAAAATACGAATAAACTTTTTCCGATTATTACGCGAGCATTTAAAACAATAAAAAGCGTAATAATTAAAAGTTGTGACCGTAACTGAAAACTATTGCAGAATAATTACTTTAACTACTTTTACTTCTTACTTTACTTATTATAAGTTACTAAGGGGTTCCCATAAACCCACTTAGCCAATTACTAACTTTTACGTTTTTACTTACTTGAACATGGTTCACTAATTAGTTTTCTGCGAACACACCGCTCACAACCAGACCTTCTTCTCAGATTATATTTTTTTCTTACTTAATTCCCTTTCTAATAAGCTATCACACGCTTTAATCGGAGCTCATTTGCTCCGGTTATCACCGTTTGAAGTTGGACAAGCAAAACAGCCAACCAACCACAAAACAGCTCAAAACCACTCACACTTCTCGAATTACTGCACACAATCCACTCAACCAATTGCTCTCAAATTTTTATCTTACAAACTAGACATCTCAAACTCCATTTTGGTGTATCACACTCTCAATTTGACTGAGAGACGAAGCGGGAATCAAATTCCCAAAAACTGGCCAGAACAGCCCCTGCATCAGAGGTCCCTGGACAGTCCGAACTAAATAAATTCCACAGGGCTGCGTACAACTCAGAACTGGCTCATATTTTAACACCATATAGGGGACATCTCAAGCTTCAAAATGGCATATGTCACGTCCCTATCGGACATCTGTGGAGGGAGATATGCTCTCCCTAAGTTCACCTAAATATGCCAATTCTACAGAAAATTCGCCAGAGTTTCCCTTGTTTTTCCTTAAATCCCCAAATTTGTACAAGCTCATTTATGCCTCAAATGTACCTAATGATCACATAATAATACAGTAATAATCCAATGGGTGGCACACATAA